TTTAATTTTTTGAGAAAATACCATATTGTTTTTCTTTTTTTATCCTCACCTGAGGACATTTTTCCATTTTTTATTCAGACAGAGTGGGAGGCAGAGAGAGGAAGAGAGAGAGAGAAACATTGACATGAAAGGGACATATCGAGTGGCCGCCACCCGCACGACCCAACCAAGGCCAGGGACAAACTGCAGCTAAGGTACATGCCCTTAGCGGGAAATGAACCCGGGTCTCTGTGGACCGCAGGCTGACGCTCTAACGGCTGAGCCAAACTGGCCAGGGCCCATATTGTTTTTTATAGTGCCTGCACCAGTCTGTGTTTTCACCAGCAGTGTACTAAAATTCCCTTTTATCCACACCCTTGTCATCACTTGTTGTTTGATGATTTGCTGATGGCAGCCATTCTGGCTGGTGTGAGGTGATACCTCACAGTCATTTTAATTTGCATTTCTCTGATGATTAGTAACATAGAATATTTTTTGATATGTCTTTTGGCCATTTTTATGTCCTGTTTGGAGAGATGTCTATTTATGTCCTCTGCCTATTTTTCAATTGGGTTCTTTGTCTTCATTTTGTTGAGTTGTATGAGTACTCTATATATTTTGAAAAGTAACCCCTTATCTGATGTATTATTGGCAATTATGCTCTCCCAAATAGTGGGTTTCCTTTCCATTTTGATGCTTGTTTCTTCTGCTGTGCAGAAGCTCTTTAGTTTGATGTAGTCCCATGTCTTCATTTTCTTCTTTGTTTCTGTTGCCTTAGGTGATGTATCAGTGAAAATTATGCTGTGTGTGATGTCTGCTATTTTGTTGCCTACATTTTCTTCTAGAATTTTTATAGATTCCTGATTCATATTTAAGTCTTTAATTCATTTGGAGTTTATTCTTGTATATGTTGTATGTTAGTGGTCTAGTTTTATTTGTTTCATATAGTTGTTCGATTTTCCCAGCACCATTTATTAAAGAGGCTGTCTTTACTCCATTGTATACTCTTGCCACCTTTGTTAAATATTAATTGAGCATAATGTCTTGGGTCAATTTCCGGGTTTGCTGTTCTGTTCCACTGATCTATATGCCTGTTCTTGTGCCATTACCAGGCTATTTTTATTACAATGCCTTTGTAGTATAATCTGATATCTGGTACTGTGATCCCTCCTACTTTGTTCTTCTTCTTTGAGATTGCTATGATCATTCAGAATCTTTTTTGGTTCCATATAAACCTTTGGAGTATTTGTTCTAGTTCTGTGAAATATGTAGTTGGTATTTTAATGGGTATTGCATTGAATCTATGGATTGCTTTTGGTAGTGTGGACATTTTAATGATGTTAATTCTTCTATTTTATGAACAAGGTATATGCTTCCACTTTTTTATATCTCCCTTTATTTCTTTTTCAATGTCCTGTAGTGTTCTGTGAACAGGTCCTGTAGTTCTTTGGTTAAGTTTATTTCTAGGTATTTCGATTTTTTGCTGTGATGGTATGTGGGATTGTTTATAAAGTTTCTCTTTCTGTGAGTTCATTATTGCCGTATAAGAACACTGACAATTTTTTAATGTTCATTTTATATTCTGCTACTTTGCCAAATTCATTTATTACGTCTACTAGATTTTTGATAAAGTCTTCAGGATTTTTCATGTACAGTATCATGGGATCTGCAAATAATGACCATTTCACTTTTTCTTTTCCAATTTGAATTCTTTTTATTTTTTTTCATGTCTAATTGCTGTGGCTAAGACTTCCAGTACAGTACTATGTTAAATAAGAGTGGTGAAAATGGGCATCCCTTTCTCATGCCTGTTCTTAAGGAAAATGCTTTTAGTTTCTGCCCATTATATATGATGTTGGCTGTCGTACATTTTTGATACATGTCGAGATATGATCCCTCTATTTCAACATTGCTGAGCATTTTTATCAGAAATGGGTGCTGGATTTTGTTGAATGCTTTTTCAGTGTCTATTGATATTATCATATGGTTTTGATTTTTTATTTTGTTTGTGTGGTGTATCACATTTATTGATTTGTGAATATTGTACCAGCCTTGCATTCCTGGGATGAATCCCACTTGGTCATGATGAATAATTTTTAAAATATATTGCTTGATCAGATTTGCTAATATTTTGTTAAGGATTTTGTCATCTATGTTTATCAGGGATATTGTCCTGTAGTTTTCTTTCTTTGTAGTGTCTTTATCTGATTTTGGAATTGGAATTATGCTGGCCTCATAAAATGAGTTTAAAATCTTTTTTCTTCTTGAAATTTTTGAATAGTTTGAGGAGAATGGGTGTTAGTTCTTCTTTGAATGTTTGGTAAAACTCCCCCTTGAAGCCTTCCTGGCCTGGACTTATGTTTGCTGGGAGTTTCCTGATTCCATTTTCAATTTTCTTAGTTGTTAATGGTCTGTTCAAGATTTCTATCTTTTCCTGGTTTAATTTTGGGAGACTGTGTGATTCTAGGAATTTGTCCATTTTATCTAGATTGTCCAATTTGTTGGTGTATAATTGTTCATATTGTTTTTAAATTACCCTTTGTGTTTCTGTGTTGTCAGTAGTTACTTTTCTCCTTTCATTTCTGATTTTGTGTATTTGGCTCATCTCTCTTTGTTTCTTGGTAAGTCTGGCGAAGGTTACATCAATCTTGTTTTATCTTTTTAAGAAACTGGATCTTTGTTTCATTGATCTTTTAAAAAAATTCTTTTCTGAGGATGTTTTCTATATTTGTCTTCAGATAGAATGGGAAAAAGGGTGAGGGAGGGTGAGAGAAGGAGAGAGAGAAAAAGAAAAGACAAAGAGCAAAACATTGATGTGAGAGGGACACATTGACTAGTTATCTCCACATGACCCCAACTTGGGCTTGGGATGAACTGCAACCAAGGTACATGCTCCTGACCTAAATCAAACCCACAACTGTATTTCATGGACTGATGCTCTGACCACTGAGCAAATCCAGTCAGGGCTCATTTATTTTGAATTATTTTTTAGTTTCTATGTCATTTATTTTTGCTCCAATCTTTACAATTTTTTTTGTACTTTCTCTTGGTTTTTCTTTTTGTTTGCTTTTTAGTTCTTTAAGTGTAGGTTAGATAGTCAATAGAAATTTTTCTTGTTTCTTGAAGTAGTCCTGTAGTGCTATGAAGTTCCCTCTCAGAACTGCTTTTGTTGCATCCCATAGATTTTGTGTTGTTGTGTTTCATTTTCACTGGTTTCCAGGAGTTTTTAAATTTTTCCTTGATCTCTTGGTAACCTATCCATTGTTTAATAACATACTATTTAGCCTCCATGTGTTTGAATGTTATTGAGTGTTTTTACTGTAATTGATTTCTAGTTTCATGCCATTGTGATAGGAAAAGATAATTGATATGATTTCATTCTTCTTGAATGTGTAGAGAGTTAGTTTGTGTTCTTTTTAAGAAAAATTTTCTTCTTTATTGATTTTAGAAACAGAGGAAGTGAGAAGGAGAGAGAGATAAAAACATCAATGAGAGAGAACATTAATTGGCTGCCTATGCATGCCCTCCACTGGGAATTGGGCCCACAACCTGGGCATGTGTTGTGACCAGGAATCAAATCAGTGAAGTCTTAGTGCATGGGTTGACACTCAACTACTGAGCCACACCAGCTGGACTAGTTTTTCTTCTTACATGTGGTCTAAATTTGCAAATATTTATGTGCACTTGAGGAGAATGTGAATACTGCAGTTTTAGGGTGTAATTCTCTGTAGATATCTATTAAATCCATTATATCTAATGCATCATTTAGTGTCTCTGTTTCCTTGTTAATTTTTTTGTCTAGTGGATCTGTCCAGTGATGTTATTGGGGTGTTGAAGTCCTCTGCTATGATTGTATTATTGTTTATTTCTCCTTTGAAATTCTCCAGAAGTTTAAAAATATATTTTGGTGCTCCTATATTGGGTGCATATATGTTTACCAAGGTTATATTCTCCTGTTGGATAGATACTTTCAATATTATGTAGTGGCCTTCTTTGTCCTTAGTTATGCCCTTCATTTTGAAGTCTATTTTATCAGATATGAGTATTGCTACCCCACCTTCTTTTTCTTTTCCATTTGCTTGGAAATATTTTTCCCATCCCTTCACTTTCCACCTATGTGAGTCTTTTGTTGTGAGGTAGGTCTCTTTTAAACAACATATATATGAGTCATGATGTTTTATTTGTTCAGCTACTCTGTGTTTTTTGATCATAGCATTTAACTCATTTACATTTAAGATTATTATTGATATGTTCTTATTTATTGTCATTTTTGTTTATTGTTGTTATGTTTCTTCTTATATTTCTTTTGCTTCTTACAGCAATCCTTTTACTATTTCTTGCAGTGCTGGTTTTGTGCTAATATTTTCCCTTAACCGTATCTTGTCTGTAAAGCTCTTTATTTCACCTTCTATTTTAGTGATAGTCTTGCTGGATAGAGTAGTCTGGGATTCAGATCCTTGTTTTGTTTTTGTTTTTAACTTTTTCCTTTATTGATTTTAGAAGGAGCAGAAGTGAGAGGGAGAGAGATAGAAACATCAATGAGAGAAAACATCAGTTGGCGGCCTCCTGCATGCCCCCCAATGGCAATCGGGCCCACAACTTGGGCCTGTGTCCTGACTGGGAATGGAACAGGTGACCTCTTGGTGCATGGATCGATGCTCAACCACTGAGCCACACCGGCCAGACAAATCCCCCCCCCCCCCTTTTTTTTATTACCTTGATTACTTAATGCCATTGCCTTTTGGCCTGTAGTATTTCTGTTTAGAAGTCAGCTGATAGCTTTATGGTGGTTCCTTTGTAAGTAAACTGTTGCTTATCTCTTGCTACCTTTAGGATTCTCTCTTTGTCTTTAATTTTTGGCATTTTGATTATTATGTGTCTTGTTATTTGCCTGTTTGGGTTCTTCTTACTTGGGTTTCTCTGTGCTTATTAAACTTGTATGCCTTTTTATTTTATTTATTTATTTTTTACCAAGTTAAGAAAGTTTTTTGTCACTCTTTTTTTTTTTCTTTCAAGGGTAAAAAATTATGGAACACTTCAGAAATTTTTGCATCATCTTTGTGTAGGGGCCATGATAATCTTTGTATTGTTCTAATTTTAGTATATTGTTGCCGAGATGAGCACTGTCACTATTTCTTTAAAAATTGTTTTAAGAATTGACTTTTAGAGAGAGAGGAAGGGAAGGGGGAGAGAAATGTAGAAGCATCGATGAGAGAGAACATCCACTAGCTACCTCCTGCATGCCCCAACTGGGGATTGGGCCCACAACCTGGGCATGTGCCTGACTGGGAATTGAATCAGTGACCTCTTGGTTCATGGGTTGATGCTCACCCACTGATCCACACCAGCAGGACTCTGTCACTATTTCTTCAAATATATTCTCTAACGTTTGCTCATTTTCTTTTTCTTCTGAAACTCCTATGATGCGGATGTTGTTCTGTTTCATATTTTCCTACAGTTCTCTTAAACTGTCTTACTGTTTTTCAATTGTTTTTTCTTTTTCATTCTCTGATTGATTGATATTTTTCTACCCTGTCTTCCAATTTACTGATCTGATCCTCAGCTTCCTCTACTCTCTTGGTTATTCTTTCCAATGTGTTCTTTATTTCTTCTATGTCATTCTTCATTTCTGCTTGGTGGTCTTTCATTTCTAATTGGTTGATTTTCAATGTTTCTATATCTTTACTCATGTTGTTGAGCTTTCTCATAATCATTACTCTGATTTCTACCTCTAATATCTTGTTTAATTTCATTTCATTTATCTCTTCTTCTGTAGAATTTTCTTATTCTTTCATTTGGGATTTGTTTTTTGTTTCACCAGTTTGGCTGTCTCAGTGGGTTTTAGAGCCTGCAAAATTTTTCTTGGGGGGTTGATGTTCTGCTGCCTATGGCTCCCTCTCCTGGGTTTGGATGATTGTGGGACGCCCCAAGTTAAACACCACTGTCAAGTTTTACTTTCCTGGGAAGATTTGCAGGCCAAGCAAAGGTTAAGTTATGCTGTAGCATTTGCCTGCTGGCTATTAGTCTCAGTTACTTGATGAGCCTTGGGTTGTAGCCCTCAGCTGAAAAAATATTTCTAAGGTGTTCAGGGTATGAGGATTTCCAGTGGGTGGGGCAATGACCTTTCCCCCCACCCTTCCTTGCTTGCTGGTCATCTCTAGCTGTTAATGAGATTCATTTTGCATTTCTCTGGCCTGGATAGGTGATGTTAAACTCCTGAGAGAGGGGCCATTGAATCTCACCAGGGCTCTGGGAAGGGGCTCCTTGAGTAAAATGACTACTGTCTTAGGAGGGAGCAATTCAGCACAAAACTCCCAATGTCCTCTTTCCCATCTCTCTCCCCTAAAACTTTCTTCACAAAATTGAGTCCAGTCCAACTTCTCTCTGCCGGAGCCCATGGTGAGTGACTGTGCCTGATTCAGTGCTCTGTCTTTTCAGGGATGTGCCATTTTTTTTTTCTTTCACTGGACCTCTCCTTGCTGGACAAAGCCTCAGCTCTGGTGATCTCAGCCAGGTATTATGCAGTCACCTTTCCTTGTCCCGCCACTCTATGTTGGGGCAATCACCACTCTGTGCTGTGGAGCTGGCTTGGGTTTTAACCCTTGACTTCTCAGAGAAAACTTCTCAGAGCTAAAACAGCCCTCAGCTGCTGTTCATGGATTCCCAGCCTGCCCTCTTGACTCTGCAGTTCCTACCAGGCTTAATTTGGTGTCATCTTTCCATTCCTGTTTATAAGATTGCTCTCCAACTGCTTTTCACTTGATTTTCCCTGATGATTTGTCTTTATTTTATTTTTTAAATTTTTAATTATTTTTATTAATTTATTTTTGTTACAGATCTTTCTCCTTTTCTCTCCATTGACACCCTCCTCCCGACCGCCCCTCCCCCACCCCATCCCCAGCATTGTTGTCTAGGTGAATTGGTTACACATACATGCCTATAAGTTCTCTTCCCTTCCTCCCCAACTCCCTCCTCTGAGGTTTGTTTGTCTGTACCCTACTTCTATATCTCTGGGTCTATTTTGTTCATCAGTTTGTTTTGTTCAGTATATTCCACAAGTAAGTGAGATCATGTGATATTTGTCTTTCTATGATTGATTTGTTTTGCTTAGGATAATACTCTCCAGGTCTCTTGATGTTGTCCCAAAGGATAAGAGATCTTTCTTTATTATAGCTGCATAGTACTCCATTGTGTATATGTACGACAACTTTTTTATCCATTTGTCTACTAATGGACACTTGGGCTGTTTCCAGATCTTAGTTATTGTAAATAGTGCTGCTATGAACATAGGGGTACATATATTCTTTCTGATTGGTGTTTTGGGCTTCTTAGGGTATATTCCTAGAAATGGGATCACTGGGTCAAATGGCAGATCAATTTTTAACTTTTTGAGGCAAAACCATAGTGTTTTTCATAGTGACTGCACCAGTCTACATTCCCACCAGCAGTGTAGTAAAGTCCCCCTTTCTCCACATCCTCGTCAGCACTTGTTTAATTTGTTGATGGCAGCCATTCTGGTAGGTGTGAGGTGATACCTCAGTTGTTTTAATTTGCATCTCTCTTATGATTAGTGACAGTGAGCTTTTTTTCATATGTCTCTTGGACATTTGTATGTTTTATTTGGAGAGGTGTCTCTTTAGGTTCTCTGCCCATTTTTTACTTTTATTATTATTTTTTTTATCCTCACCCGAGGACATTTTTCCATTTTTTGTTCAGGTAGAGTGGGAGGGAGAGAGAGGAACAGAGAGAGAGAGAGAAACATCGATGTGAAAGGGACACATCGAGTAGCTGCCACCCGCATGACCGACCAGGGCCGGGGCCAAACTGCAACCGAAGTACGTGCCCTTAGCGGGAACCGAACCCGGGTATCTCTGGACTGCAGGCCATCGCTCTAACCGCTGAGCCAAACCGGCCAGGGCCTCTGCCCATTTTTAATTGTGCTCTTTGTCTTCCTTTTGTTGAGTTGTATGAATACTCTCTATATTTTGAACATTAACCCCTTATCTGATGTATCATTGGCAATTATGCTCTCCCATATAGTGGGTTCCCTTTCAATTTTGATGGTTATTTCTTTTGCTGTGCAGAAGCATTTTAGTTTGATGTAGTCCCATGTGTTCATTTTTTCTTTGTTTCTGTTGCCTTAAGCATTGTATCATTGAAAATTCTGCTGTATGTGATGTCTAAAATTTTGTTGCGTACACTTTCTTCTAGGATTTTTATGAATCCATGAGTCACATTTAGGTCTATTATTCATTTTTTTAGTTATGTACATCACATTTATTTATTTATTTATTTATTTATTTAATCCTCACCCAAGGCATTTTTTAAATTTTTTGTTCAGATAGAGAGGATGAGAGAGAGAGAAACATCGGCATGAAAGGGACACATAAAGTGGCTGCCTCTCGCATGACCCAATCAGGGCTGGGGCCAAACTACAACCAAGGTACGTACTCTTAGCACAAACCAAATCCAGGTCTCTCTGGACTGCAGGCTGATTGCTCTAACCACTTAGAAAGACTGGCCAGGGCAGGTCTTTTATTCATTTTGAGTTTATTCTTGTGTGCGGTGTAAGTTTGTGGTCTAGGTTCATTTTTTTGCATGTAGCTGTCCAATTTTCTTAACATCGTTTATTGAAGAGGTGGTCTTGACTCCATTGTATGCTCTTGCCCCCTTTGTAAAATATTAATTGAGCATGTTGTCTTGGGTCAATTTCTGGGTTCTGTTCTGTTCCATTAATATATATGCCTTTTCTTGTGCCAGTACTAGGCTGTTTTGATTATAGTGGCTTTGTAGTATAACCTGATAGCTGGCATTGTGATCCCTCCTACTTTGTTCCTTTTTTTCAAGATTGCTGTGGATATTCAGGGTCTTTTTTGATTCCATATAAACTTTTAGAGTATTTATTCTTGTTCTGTGAAATATGTAATTGGTATTTTGATGGGAATTGCATGGAATCTATAGATTTCTTTGGGTAGTGGACATTTTAATGATGTTAATTTTTTAAATCCATGAACATGATATATGCTTTTACTTTTTTATATCTTTCTCTATTTCTTTTTTCTATGCTCTGTAGTTTTCTGCAAATAGGTCCTTTACTTCTTTAAGTTTATTCCCAGGTATCTTAATTTTTTGCCACGACAGTAAATGTGATTTTGTTTTTAGTTTCTCTTTCTGTGAGTTTATCATTGGTGTATAAGAATGCTGTAGATTTCTTGAATTAATTTTGTATACTGCTACTTTGCTAAATTTATTTATGTCTAGTAGATTTTTAATGAAGTCTATAGTTTTTTTTTTTTTTATGTACAATATCATGTCATCTGTGAATAATGACAGTTTTACTTTCTCCTTTCCAATTTAGATCCCTTTTATGTTTTCTTCATGTGTAATGGTTGTGGCCAAAACTTCCAGTACAGTACTATGTTAAATAAGAGTGGTGAAGGTGGGCATCCATGTCTTGTTCTTGTTATTAAGGGAAATGCTTTCAGTGTTTGCCCACTGAGTATGATGTTGGCTCTAGGTTTCTCATATATGGCTTTTATTGTGTTGAGATATAATTCTTCTATTCCAGTGGTTCTCAAACTGTGGGTTGCGACCCCATTGGGGCGTCAAACGACCCTTTCACAGGGGTTGCCTAACACAGTAGAAAAATTATAGTTATAAAGTAGCAACAAAAATAATTGTATGTTTAGGGGTCACCAAAACATAAGGAACTGTATTAAAATGTCGCGGCATAAGGAAGGTTGATAAACACTGCTATTCCCACATTGCTAAATGTTTCTATCAGAAATGGGTGCTGAATTTTGTCAAATGCTTTTTCAACATCTATTGATAAGATCATATGGTTTTTATCTTTCATTTTGTTTATTTTATTTTTTTATGCCATGTATCACCTTTATTGATTTGCGAATATTGTACATCCTTGCATCGCTAGATGAATCCCACTTGGTCATGATGAATAATTTATTTCAATGTATTGCTGAGTCCGATTTGCTAATATTTGTTAAGAATTTTGGAATCTATGTTCATCAGGGATATTGTCCTGCAGTTTTCTTTCTTTCTTTCTTTCTTTCTTTCTTTTTTTTTTATCCTCACCCGAGGACATTTTTGCATTTTTTGTTCAGAC